TAACATCTTCTTTGGTTCTCTTCCCTGTCTGTACATAGCCTCTATTCACCTTGTGTGGATCTTCCTCCACCATCATAATTAACCATCAATTAACCATCTTACTCTATGGATTTTCACCCAGTCTAGGGACAGCTTACCTATCGAGGGTTTCTGTTACCTCCCCTCCTCCTTTAAAGAGAAAATTTGGCTAAAATTTCACAGTACATTCTGTTGACACCTAGTCAAAACCAACCTGTAGTGCAAAACTAGAGTGAATTATCCATTCCAAAGGTGTGTGTGTGTGGAAGAAATAATTCAAAAGCAACAGGAACGATTGAATATTAGGCTCTTAGTGTTTATACCAGGCCTGGCCAATCCAGAGGCTTCATATTCCTTACCAATCAGAGTTACTGTTGCAGCAACCCTGTGCTTTTTGTGTGCCGGGGGGGGGGGGTTGAACCCTGGTCACATCTGGTTTCAAATAGAACAGAAGGCTAGGACACAGCCTCAAGGTTTATACCTGATTTCTGTTTCAAGTGCTGAAATCCCCAACATATTCACAAGCACTAAGTGATATACCTAAGCCTCTTTTTATTTTCAGCTCCTAAAACAAAGGCTGCAAGCTGAGGGGAAGGTCACAAGCAGTTCTGGCTCACAGAAAAATGCCTAAGACTACTACCATAAGAACACTTTCCTGGGAGGAAGCCCCATTAAATAAAATGAGACTTCTGAGTATACCTGCTTAGGGCTGCTCCCCATAGTGTCTACAAGGCCACAGCAAGGAGGTGCGGGCTGGGTATCCAGAAGGGCCAGGCTGCAAGCCCAAAACTAGGACAGGGTCTATTTAGGTTATTTCAGAAATCGTAGAAAGCAACACTTCTTTCATAGCACATGAAATGGTACCTCTAACCAATCCCCTCCACACAATTACAAGTCTGTACCAGACTTAGAATGATCAGTACTAGGACTCCAAGTCTGGGTGCAAGTCTAACTTGGGAAACTCGTGGAGATTTGGGAGTTCAGCCTGAAGAGGGCAGAGTTTGGGGGAGGGAGTTCAGCAGAGATGTGAAGTCATAGTCTGCCCTCTGAAGCTGCCATTTCCTCCCAGGGAAATGATCAGTTTAGGCTGGAGATAAATTGTAACTTCAGGAGACCTCCAAGCTCCACCTGGCCCAGCCCTACCTGTAGGCAGGCAACCGTAGGTCTGAAGCTTTGGCTCCCAGGCACAGGTTTAAGGGTTCATTCTCAGGGCGGCAGGCAGAAATGTCAGGTCTGTTTGCTAGTCCTGCAAAACTCATACATTCGTCTGCAGCCTGAACAGCTCAATGTTTAACTCAGTTAATCTCTGCCTGCTTGTGCTCCTGCCTTTACTGTATAACTAGATAAGCACTGAATAGTCTCCATATTATGGCATCTGGAGCATAGAGACTGTTGTAGTTTTAAGCCTCGTTCTAAGACATTTCATGTAGTAAACCAGTGCCTGGGTTGTGCTGCTTTACAGATCATATGGTTGATTAGTTTGCCATACCAATAATGAGGGGCGGGCAGAATAGTTTATCATATAGTTTATGAAAACCTTTTTACAAAGGTCTGCCTGGCACTTTTTGGCACCAGGCAAATCTATTCTGTTTTTTCATCCCTTTAGGCAGTTAATTGGTTATTTGCTTTTTGATCTGAACAAACTCTTCTGAATAAAGTTTATCAGCTGCTGGGTAATGGATGCACTTATCTCTTCATGCTTCTTCCTCTTTTTCTGAGTAAGTTTTGAGGTGTATCCTTACCACTCGGCTGAGCAAAGCCTTCCTTCGTACTAGGGAACTTTCCCCAGGAGAAGCAGCTCAAACAAAAGGAAGGTTCCACTCTTAGCTGCGCAGAGTGATAGGATACAACCCAGTATCGTTACATGCTTCTTGTAATCAGTTCTAACTACCTATTTGTAGAATGGTGGTATAAAGTAAAATTCAGCTTGAGAGAACTAGGGCTTATTCTCTGATAACGAGAGGAAAATATCCTGTACTCCTTTGGTGTATTTCATCCTCAGTGAAAAGGGTGGCTCACCTTACTGGTGTTCCAACATGCAAGTAGGCAGAGCTTGCTCATCAGTTCTGCAGGACTCTCCATGCTATTAAATTGTACATGGGCAAATTCTCATTGACAAAGGAGCATTTCCCCCTTTAAAGTTACAACACTGAAAGCAAAAGAGACGTTTCACTTAAACACAGTATCTACTATCCACAAACTGATTTGAAAAATAATCAAAGCTTAAATTAAACTCCCCCCCCCAGTTGTATTCAACACCACAGTTGTGTACGTGGAGTTAGCAAAGTTCCACACATCATTAAGTAGTAACAATGGCTGAGATCAAGCCACAATGGGGAACAGAGTGACCCAGAAAGCCTGTCTTATAGCCAATGAAACTTTTTAGCTGTCTTCTTTGTCAAGCACTACCAAAATGGACATACGTTAGCCAAGCCTTTTTGTTCAGCCAGTCTAAAAATAAAAGGGCCTGGGAGTCAGAGAATGGGTATGGAGGAAAATGGTTTCCCCACACACAAAGTACATTCCAAAAGGCTAAAAATTGTTCTAACACAACACTCATTTGAGAAGGTGATGAATGGTGATTGGCACAGGCCTGCTGATGCAGCTCAAAAGCTAAAAGGACAATGATGGAGATGTGCAAGTAGCCATGACAACAGAGAGGCCTAAATGTCATTCACCTGGCCAGCAAGGTCATTGGCAAAGGGCACAGAGCAAGGCCTTAGTGACTTTCTTTGCATTCTTCCTACATGCCTTCCCCACCTTTAATGGATCGGGGGGGGGGGGAAAGAGAGACAAGCATGTTAAGTGCATAAACATATCAACACAACCTTTGTGACAATGCCAACTGATCAGAAGGCCTGGGATCCAAGGGGAAACTGACATATGTAAGGCTCTTAGCAGTGTTGTGTTTCATTACTGCTTCAGGGGGAGCACTGCAGATCAGTCTAAAAGCCTGCTCAATTGGCAGAAGCACCAAGATTGCCAAACTATTTTCACCCATGTTTCTCACGGACTGCATCACAACAAACACTGTGAGAAACAAAGGTTCAAAGATCAGCTTTGGTACTTTTGGCCACTGTGTGACACAGAGTGTTGGACTGGATGGGCCTTTGGCCTGATCCAGCATTGGCTTCTCTTATGTTCTTAGCTGCCCCTTGTGCCCAGTCCTATCTTAGACAGCCAAAGCTATGGAGGTGGGGAGACCAGGTGCACTTTGGCATTCAGAACTTGGTAGTCAGGTGCTCTGTAGTCTATGTTAAAAGTTCGTTTGCTTAATTTCTGACATCTATCCATTAACTTACACACCGGCTACTCTTCTTCAAAAACATAATCAGTGCAATTTACACTGATTCTTCAGATGGCAACTGATATTTTCAAACTAAAAATCAATGGTTTTAGGAAAAGGAATCCAAGACTTGGCACACTGCACTAGGGGGATCTGCTTGCCATTTTAAGAAGAGCAAGTTGCTGGTCCTGCCCACAGCAACAGGCTTGAAGGCGTACAGGGGAATGTTCAGAACCAAATGATAAGCCAAGAAGAATTCCACAGGTCGGGCTTCAGAACATCAAAAGCAATGCAGATTAAATAAAGACCTTAAAGACAAACATTAAAATGCTGCAATGGATGATGCTAAACAGGGACTTGTTCAATTTACTACTATTGGTTTCGGGGGAAAGTGTCATGTGCTTGTGGAATAGGCAGTGGGAGCTCTGTGTCTGTGGGGATCTGCAGCCAAATCATTTTAATTCACTTATATGTACCATTCCTATTGCAACTTCACAAGTTTGGAAGAGATACTCAGGTACAATCACTCCAAATTCCACAGCAAGATTCTCAAAAGGGGCGTGCAAGAGTAAAAACAGATGCTTCTTTATGAAGATGATAAAGCTTGTATTTATGAGACTTTTTCACATAAATGCCACTTTTAATTATGAACAGGTTTTCAAGTAAGGTTTTATAGCCAGAAATGAGGAAGTGAAAGACACATTCCTATCCTGCTGCTGTTACAACAGACTATCCATTTCAGCCCTGTTCAATTCTTCATTGCTACAGAACCACTGAGAATCACCACCAGGTCGAAAAGCTTAAATGCCACGCACTACAGCTGCCACAGCAGGCCACTGCTAGCCAGACACAAAGAGGACACCTGGCAAGGCCTGCTCTGCAGTGTGGTCAGTGTATTTCGCAACAACACAGATTACAACAGCCAACGAGACTTTTCTATCACAGTATTGCAAGAACATTGTAGGCATCACATCTTAACAAGTTGCATTGCTAGTTTTTCAGAAGAACCCTGTGTGTTCCTTTTTTGATTGAGGCTCAGAATCTCTATTGCCCTGGTCAACAATTTGTCCAAGTGAGGGATTCTATTTTAAATGGAACAAAGTTTGAGTCCAGTGGCATCTTTAAGACCAACAAAGTTTTATTCAAGGTATAAGCTTTCGTGTGTATGCACACTTCTTCAGATACATTGAAATAGAAGTTACCAGTCCATACATATAGGTAGAAAGAAAGCAGCAAATTAGCATACAGCATAATAAAGATGTTCAACAGATTCAAGGACCAAACAGGAATAACAAGCTTAGTTTATATGTTTACCATTTGTTTGAATTTAATACATATGTCAAATTTGGAGATTGTTCTGAGTGTTGTAATAACACTGTAATACATTTCATTGTACCTGAAGAACTGTGCACGCACACATAAGCTTGTACCTTGAATAAAACTTTGTTGGTTTTAAAGGTGCCTCTGGACTCAAACTGTGTTCGGCTGCTTCAGACCAACACAGCTACCCAGCTGAATCGATTTTAAATGGAGTAAGGGCTGAAGGACCAGCCACACACCCCTACACAAGCCCAGACAAGTAAAGGACTCTTTAGCCATCTATTCCCTGGTATAAACAGCAACAGAGAACATGGCAGATTCTTAACCTTATTATGCACATCAGGCATTTGCTCAGAGGCAAAGGGCACAAGCCGATCCCCCCCCCCTTCCGGGGCAGCATTCAGACTCCCTTTCATGCTTTACTCTCCTGTGCAAGACTCATGCACAGGGGAATGAGAAATTGAGAGCCATCAAGGGAGAACTCTGCCAAGGCCTCTGTTGATGTCCACAGTAGGAAAGAAAGAGCCCTTTCCTTGTGGGTCAGAACACCTCAGGTGTATGATAAGGGGTAGAATACAGGGCCAGATGGGGAACTCCTGGGGGCTACGAGATCAGTTCACGTAAGAACTCTGAAGAGCTGCTTTATCACATATGGACAGAACAATCACAGTTACTGGGCACAAGTCAGATTGCTACTTTCTCATTTATTCATTTACTGGCATCAAGTCTCCACTTTCGCACCCTTTCTGCTCCCCCCCCCCCATCAAAGTGCATTTACTTTTATGATAAGAGTTTTAAAATAGTTTTGGCTGATCGTCCAGTTAAGCTGCTCCTCAGTCTTCCATCTGATACTCCTCTGGATTCCCATGTTGTGGCATAATGGTTCCTGGGGACAAGAGAAGAACCCTGAGGCAAAACAATGGCTTTTTGTCGCGCAAGTCTTAGAAGGAGCATCCAGCCGCTTATAAGGCTCCCGGGATCTTCTGTGGCGGGAGGCCCTCCTCGATCCAGAGGGAAGGGGACTGGCTGCTATGCAGCATCCGCCGGTGAATCCGTCGCAGGCGCAGCAGGTAGAGCAGGATGGCCAGCAGCACGACAAAGAAGCAGGCAAAGAACAGGTAGTGATTGTAAACGAAAGAGAAGCTGCGCCAGTGGGAGTGACTGCCACGGAAGTTCTCCTGTTGGATGTCCCTGTGAAAGGGGGCAAAGGAAGAAAGGGGAGGAAGACTTTGAACCTCCAAAGGGCAGACATTTTTACAACCTACTTCTCATATAACATCACCTCAGGCTTCAGTGGGTCTGTCCTCCATCTGCATTCTTGTCCTTATGTACTTTGTCAGGGAAGGGCAGCAGAGGGGCCATCACAAAGAGGACTGGGAAGGTAACAGGCTGAGAAATCTGCAGCCCTTCACTTCGGAAAGAACTTTCCAAACGGTCACTGCCCCTAGGACCTTTATAGGCGAAGCTGTCCCACCGATCCTCATCCTCCTTTCAGACTTATCACTGCCCAACCAACCAGCATGGGGCAAAGGCAGCTCTAGTTAATTAGCTGGAAGCCAAGGGTCAAGAATGAATGCAGGCACAGAGAAATTGGTGGCAACTGGCACTGCCTTACCCATTTAGCTATCAAATCCATTCTCCCTACCCCCCCCACACACAGCTGGCATCTTAGTAGTTCTACAAACTGTTAAGGAATAACAGCTGTGTAAAATTTTCTGGAGGAGTCTGTGTAGAATACAGAAGTTGGTGACTAGCCCGTTTCACAGTTAGCTAAGACTGAGAACATTCAAGCCATACCTCAAAGGCAAAAATCGTGTTCGATAGAGGATGGCTCCCAAAGTCCACTGCACCTCTTTATCATAAACCTGCAGTGCAGTTTTTAAGTTGCCATAGTTTATGGGAAAAGAGAAGCCATTATGGAACACTTCATACATCCAGGCCGACTTAAAGCACTGATACCTACAGAGAATAAAGTCAATAATAAGGAATCAACATGTTACTTGAATGACAGCAGGACATTAACATAAAAAGTGCAATCCAGAAGAATGCCTAAATGTCATAGCTTGAAGCAGAACTGCATACTCATTGTCTCACTCATTGTCTTTAGTGACACCTGCGTAGGTCTAGCATTCTCTGCATTGCATCCAAAGGAATTAACTACTACCTGGATGGGTTTATGGATCTGCTGTGACAGAGGCAGTAATGGCTCCAGTGAGCTAGAAACTCAGAAAAGGGCATAACTCAGCAGCAGCACAAAAGCTTTGTATGTATGAAGTCCAGTTTCAAAGTCTACCACCTCCAGTTAAAAATATACCAGGTGTTTGTGTGCAGAGTTAAATGAACCAAATGATCTAATTAATTTAGCTTTAAATACTATTCTAGGTTCATTAAAAGTGTGGAACTTCATAAAGAGGGCAACACCAGCCATAGGGATCGTATGAACTAGGTCTGAGTTATACAGCCTATCACATTTTGAACCTGGCCTTCCTTTCAGGAGCTCAGGGCCACATTCATGGTTCTCCCCTCTACCATAACTACCCAAAAAAAATGATACACCAGTCATTAACTGCATCACACTGTATGATAGCTTACATTTCCAGAAGTATCTGATGACCAACTGTTCTGATAGCAAGGTCTAATGCCTCCTGGCCTCTTTTAAGTTTTTTGCTCTAATAGTTTGGTTTTAGCCCTACCTCCCTATGAAGTTTGCCGGAGCAGATTCAGTTGCAAAGGTGAACAACACTCACTTCAATCGATGGAGGTCAGCATGTGATGCGTAAAGGTGACGGTCAAAACGTTC